ATGGAATGTCCCTTTGGCCAGTTTGGCTGTGCCCCCTCCCAGCTCCTTGTGCCCCTCCAGCCTTCTCAGTCGGTAGAGCATGGGAAGCTGAAAAGTCCTTGACCAGTGCAAGCACTGCTTAGCGACAACTAAAACATCGGTGTGTTATCAACATTGTTCTCATCCTAAATCCAAACCACAGCACTGTGCCAGCTACTAGGAAGGAAATTAACTCTATCCCTGCCGAAACCAGGACACACGTTTAGCAGAGGGCACAGCTGGTGATGGTGCACGCTCCCAGGAGTGTAACGCCCTGGCTTCTCCTTGGTGCAGTGCCCGCACCATCCCAGTGTCCAGGACACATGTGAAGGGCAGAGCATCGGGTAAGGGGTGAAAGGTGCCCAGTATGGGATGCCACAGGTCCCAGTGCTGCCTTCTGGCTGCAGGCTCGCAGCTGAGAACAGGGCATGTGGGGCTGAGCCCCAGGAGCTGTGCTCCTCCCCATTATCTCTGGAGGACTGTGGTCCCACCACAGAGACAACAGCCCTCGTGCCTGGGCCACACCAGCCCAGGGATGCTGTGGCTACGATGGAGGGGAAGCAGCAGCTGGAGAGCCCAGCTCTGGGCTTGGCATTGCCGCAGCGGAGGCTCCGGCCATCCCTGTTGGAGGCAGCTGTGACCCCAGGGCTCTCTCCTGGCAGATCATCGCCGCCCAGGAGGAGATGCTGCGCAAGGAGCGGGAGCTGGAGGAGGCACGGAAGAAGCTGGCCATGATCCGGCAGCAGCAGTACAAGTTCCTGCCCTCGGAGCTGCGGGACGAGGAGCAGAACTGAGCCCCGCGCCCTCCCGCCGCTCACCGCACAGACTGCCGCCCACCCACCCGCTCCAAAAAAAAGGGGATTTTTCCATGTGCCTTTGTCATTCCCACTCGTGCTCCTTTCTTCTCTCTCCTCCGTGCGGGAGGGGGAGAGGCAGGGGGGTCCGCCGTGAGGTAGGATAATAGGCAGGCGGCTTGCCCTCTCCTGTGCGATGGGGTGCAGGGAGCAGCACGGTTCCTCGCCGAGCTCTTGCACAGAGCCGCCTTTTACCTCCAATGCCTTTTTTACTGGCTGAATCTTCCTTTTCCTCCTCTTCCACTTCCTCCGCAGCTTCCCTGGGAGGCACTGAGCCCCCCTCATGAGCATCTTCTTCAGCCTGGGCCCCTCTGGGGAGCAGCAGGGCTGGAAGCCACAGTGCCTCCGCTCAGGAATAAGGGGGGATGCGATGGTTTCACCCCCGGAGCTGCTCTTTGCCTTCCCGCCGGGCTTTCCCCCGCCCGCGGCCCCAGCCAGCTCTGCCCTCCTCCTCCTCCTTCCCAAGTGCCTGCATCGTTTTCCAAGATCTGCAGTATTTTTGTAACTTTTCCATTTCTCTAGTATTGAGCCTGCAGCTTTCAAAGTTCATTTATTCCCCGCCCCAGCTCATGCCCTGCCCACTAACACCCAGCTCTCGCTGGGGTCCCGCAGCCCAGCATCCCACCCCTCCTTGGCTTCGGGACCCCCATCACTCCCCCTTTGCACTCGCTGAGGCTTCTCTCACTATTTTGATACTTTAAGCATCCCATATTAAACATTGAAGGAAACCAGCTCCCCCCGAGGCTCTGGGGTGGGGTGGGGGATGCCGATGTCTCCTTGGAAAGACGTGTTCATCAATAAAATCTGGTTTTCCTGCTTTCTCGCTGCCCGAGTATCAACAGGACCCCCCAGGAGAAAGGGGGGGCTGGTGGGCAGGGGTGCCATGGGCGCCTGCCCTCCTGGCAGTGGAGGGGGAAGTGTAGCATGGGTGCTTATACAGGATGGAAAATATTTGAGGCACGTCCAGCCCCAGGCACCCAGCAGGCTGGACCCCCGCTGCCAGCCATGTGCATGCCCTCGCCGGTGCTG